GTGTTTTGCCCATGACCATTTAAGTGGTGAGAAGCCCTCCCAGTCCTTATTTTGTCTAGCCCCCTTTTTGGGGCATCATGATGCTCAGTGCGCACTGGGCCTAAACCACGACACCAATACTTTCTATGATTCTATGATCTGTCCTTGGTCTCTGTCATTGTTTATACAGTTACTCTATCACCTGATGCCCCCTCCCCACCTAAGGAGGGGGGTCAGGAAAAGGAAAGGAGATTTGTGGGCTGAAATAGAAATATATTTAATAAAATAATAATAAAACCTAATATTAATAACAGTTATAATATAAAATTCACAGAGTTATACTCAGCCAATATTGCGGTGGAGTAGGCCTCAGGGTTAGGATGGTAAATTCCCTCTCAACATGTCAGCCACAGAAGAGGGAGCAGGAGGGAGAGGAAGAGAAGGACCATCCCCAGCAAACTCCCCAATTTATAGTGAATATGTTGATGGTATGAATAGCATTAACTGGTCAGCCTGTGGTCACCTTGGGGTTGGCTCCCCTAGGTTTCCGCTCCCCCCCAGCCTCTGCATCTGTTTATCTCAAGACTGCTGAAGACCTTGAGCCCTATGGCAACCCGCATATCATTATTAGCTGAAATCTATAGCAAAGTTTTATCACTTTGTTCCCATGAAATAGAGTGTTGTAGTCCTTGCAGAAAACTCACCCTAAAATTCTGTCCCAGTAAACCAGGACAGTCACCTATCCCAGAGAATCCTGGGTTTTTGCTTCTCCACCCTTTCTCTTGTGCAGAGAGAAGAAAAAAAATACCTAAAGAAACTATAACTACAGGTGCAGGCAATACCTTGAAAAACATAAATATCTGCTGTCGAGAATGAAAATAAAGATCTTATCAGTGAGCACTGCAGTTTTCTCAGAAATCCATCTCTGCTGAAATATTAAAAGGAAATTCTACAATTCAATACCAGCAAAACCAGGACATATCTGTAGAATTTTATTCAGTAATGACAGAACATGTTCAGTTTTTAATCCTAAGTTTACAGTACAAGAAAGAGGGCTGCAAGTGCTTAAGAATTTTCTTCATAACAGTTGAACAGACTAATTCTCATTACTCTTATGTATTTTTTTGATAGTGGACATTTTGCTTCCCCATTTCAGCAAAATTACAGTATTTATATACAGAAGTATAAAAAAGAAGTGAGACTGTTACATAGATCAACTGGCCTACATGTTATCCTGATCTTTAGAAGAAAAATCCCTATATTGTTCAAAACTGTACAGAGCAAACATCCAGGAAAAAAATCTTTTTTTAATTCTGTGACACTGTGTTAATACCATAAATATACAAAACTTCTGAACTACTCAGACATGCAACAGAGGGATAGAAGAAGTGCATTTGTAGAGAAGCATGACATTCACCAGAATGGCAGAGCATTGTTAGTAATTTACAAAATATACAAACATCGCCCAGATAAATAAAACCAATTCCTAAATTACAGATCAATGACTATAGACATTCCAGTGTTTAAACTTCATACTTTGTACTCAGTTTGCTACAATACTACAAAATGACAACTTCAGTGGGTGCCATACTCTGATTAATTAATAAGAAACTGTAAAATCTATAGAATCATAGAATGGTTTAGGTTGGAAGGGACCTTAAAGATCTTCTAGTCCAACCCCCCTGCCATGGGCAGGGACACCTCCCACTAGACCAGGTTGCCCAAAGCCTTGTGCAACGTGGCCTTGAACACTTCCAGAGAGGGGTCATCCACAACTTCCCTGGGCAACCTGTGCCAGTGTCTAACCACCCTCACAGTAAATAGTTTTTTAAAATAATCTAGTTTTAGTTAGCTTTGTTTTAACAAATATCAGCCTTCTAAACTCAAACTTCTCCCTGCCTTTTGGGCTGCAAAGTGTCAGAGATTTTTGGTTTAAACAATTCATGTGTAACTGAACCTTGAATTTCACTTAGGAGGTTTAAATTTGTACATTCAACCCATGACATTACAAGTCAATGGTCCCTATACATAGAATAGTAAATATGTTTTCTCAAAGAGCAGTTAAACTCTTGTGAAAAAAATGTACCTGTCAAATTTAGGTTTTATTCCTAATGTTGTTTTTTTTTTCATAATATATTCTGGTAATGTATGTTATTATGCAATCTTAAAACTTCAATTAAATTGCAAGGATGATGTCCCTAGGATTCATATCCAAGAGAATTGCTTAAACTTAGATTTAAAAGTAATCCATAGGAGAGTTCCTAAACACAAACTTTAAGTTAAAGTAAAAAGATTATGAAAAGAGCAATCTGCTAGAAGTGCGATGCCTAATCGCAACAGAAAAGTGTGCATTTCTTTGGAAAGCTTTTAATAACATTCCACATAAATATAAGTTCAATGCTAGCATGTCCACTAATATAGAATTTTAGAGCCCCTATTATATAGAATATTTAAATTGCTCTTAACATGATGCAGAGAATACTTAGAAGCAAGTATATTCATTAATATGAACTTCAGCATAGGTGAAACTACTACATTTATCCAAATTCAACTTGGATTTAAAGAAATCGGTAAAAGAAAGGAGACTAATAGGAACTTCATGCTAGCAGTACAATACTGATCCAGGGATTAAGCTAAGGGTTTTATTTTTTGTAATGCTCTTACGTTATTATGAATACACTGTAGTGAAAAAGAATTAATCTATGAACCTCTGTCCACATTCAGAACATGGAAGGGCCTCAGAATTTTATGCTCAGTCTTACTAATTCACCTTAAGAGCTGAATTCATTTCACCTACGGTGTGTACTTCTACAGGTTGTGGGATGTGGTCCCTTCCTGTTTTCATATCCTAAAACAGAGTTTAAGAAAAAAGCCCAAGTATTGTGCATAAGACTCATGAGGCAATCCAAGAATATCAAATAACCTTCAAAGGAGAGAAACTTCACTTTATAGTAAGACTTGATTAAATTCTAGAATATTTTGATGGTACGTATCATTATGTTCAGTTCCACAGCACCAATTTAATCTCCAGTTCAATGAGTTAAAATTTAACTTTGTGAAAGATGAAGATTTCTCACTTTTCCATCTCAAAATAGTTTAAATTCTTTTTTTCCCCAGGTTAAATCAAATCACAAAGATGACTGAGTTGCATTAAAACGAAATCATGCATCTGTTAAATGCCATTGCTTTAAAAGCTTGATTTTAGACAGTATTCCCAGTAGAAAATTAAATACTGTATATTTAAATTTTTGGACAAGCAGTAAACAGAGTGATTGGCAAGGCTAGAGATTTAGTACCACTGTTAAACACAAATCTACACTAAAAATAAAAGTTCCCAAACACAACAAATGTACCACTGCATGTAAGAAGCAGTGAGGTATGAAAGTAGTGTTCTAAAGGTCAATATTTGTTTCTTTTCCAGCAAAATGATTACCTCAAGATATGAATACTGAAATTAAAAATAGCAAATATATAATCGTTTAGGTCTGTGATTGAAACCATCATTTAACTTCCTTAAACTGTACACTGCATTAAATATTCTATTACAGAGAATGTTTCTGCACCATAGTAATTTCTCACAGGTAGAGAATACTCCATGAAAATAGATAAAAATGCTATAGTTATAAAGTGGCGCAGGTAAATTCTGGACCAAAACACTATTTAAACAAGATCAGATAAGTCAACAGTATACATGCAAAATTACAGGTTTATAACAAAAGACTTATCCTAAAAAAATAATAAGAAAAGAATTTATAATATCTATCCTACTTGTATTTCACCTCCAGCAGCTGCTGAAATTGCAAAAGCATGAGACAAACCTAACTTTCTAGATCTCTCAGTCTACTCCACTTCTTATAGCAGAAATAGGGAAAACAGATCTTACAAAGAAAAAAAATTTGATCAAAAGTGCTTTCCTGAAGTTAAAAAAAATACCAGAGTGAAACACTAAAAAACCCTCCAAATTCTTAATATATTTATTTGATCATTATATACCGCAATTCATTCTCAGGCCAACTGGTGAAATTATTTATCCTTCATAAAATATGGAAGGCTTTATATTCTAGAATGCAACATTTTAAAGAAGAGCTGAGAATGGTTATCTTTTTAAAATAAATACATTTATAATAAAATAAAACAAACATTTCTCATTTTAGCCATGCACAACTGCAGAAGAGACAAACATGCTGTGTGTATTTTGATCTATGTTTTTAGGGAATATAATAAGTGACTGGAAAATAAAGTACAGTCGAAGAGAACCATCATGACTTTTTATATTTCTCTACATTTGGTTACCCTTGAACACATTATGAGCTGCACTGGTTGCTGCTGTTGATGTGGCATTGGCTGCAGCAGTTCGTACAGTTTTGTTGGACATCACTCCAGTTGCAAACTCCTGCTGTGCTTTCTCAAAACTAGCACCAGTTGTGCGGTAGAGAACATGCAACTAGGGAGGTAGAAAAGCAGTGAAAAAAGTATGCTGAGTCTTCCATTTCTTGGTAGAGTAATAGCAAAATCTCAAGTACGAAACAGAGCTGTGAGGTGGTGAAATCTGGTTTGCTCATATGTTTGGGAGGATCTAGAAATGAGTAAACAAACTTTTTTTCCCCACAAATCCTATAACTTTTGATTGCCCTGCTCTGCAAGCACAGTTTGACTGTAGGGATACCTGTAACTTTTTGTAAGTTCAGAGAGGTCTTGTAGGTCTTCACTAAAATGTGTGTGGTATCTACTGTCTGAAATAACATATTTAAATACACAAACAGTCTGCATCCTTAGCATAACTCAGGACCCAAAACCCGCAAAAGCATCTTCTGTCTCAATTTGTATGCAACTTGGGATACTCATTAAAAGAGATCATAAGTGTTAAACATATTTTTGAATCTACTGTGTCAATAACATTCTGGTGAACTTCTTTTTTTTCTACATAATTTTTTTAGAAATATCTTAATGTCTTTGTTTGACATTATTACAAGAACGTAAGCTAAGCTATGACAGAACATTAAAAAATATAAAATATCCCAATAATGCAGATAAATATACATTAAACTAGTGTGATGAGTAATTGCTCTGCAAAATAAGCAAAGGTATTAAACAATATGGCTTATAATATATATAGTACAACAAAAAAACAAATCCTGAGTAACTTCCAAGTACCTGAGTATTAAAATTAAAATGCTATTTCTGATTCATATTCAGTGAAGCCACAATAAAGTTGTCAAATAATATTACAAAGATATTTTCATTCAAGTATAGCAGGAAAATTAATGTTATCACTTTTTTCTTTGTTATAAATGTGACTATTTCTCATCCATAACAATACACCAGGTCATATCTGAGTATGCATGTTTTTTGAAAAGAATCCAGATATATGGCACAAAGAGTGCAAAAAAGTGCTCATCATACATTTTTGTTGTTTGAGTCATTCTCCTGTACCTGAGTATTTATGCAGAAAACAAATAAGGAGAAGGGACATCTCCAGGATATGCTCAAAATCTCTAGCTTACTGCAAATAGGCCAGAAGAGTTTGGGTATGTGGAAATCTTTAAGCGTAACTGTAACTGAGGTTGAATTATTGGAATTGCCAGCACACCATCAGGAGAATTCTCAGTTACATTTAATCAAAACAACATAAAAAACTTACTAGCATATTAGTATCTAAACTTAGGCCTTCTGAATGGAAATTCACAAAACTTTGAGCTTTTATGCTACACAATCATTAATTGACAGCAAAATGTTAAAATAATATAAGCAGAGAAATATAAATCCTTTTCTGAGGTGCCAGGCATCTCCCTTTTCTATTGATTTTAATGGGAATGATTTTGATAACAGCTGAAACTTAGCAATCATTTGAATCACGCTTCACTCAGCCTGATGAATCACCACAGATTTGAAAATTGCAACCTGGCATCTACAGTGCCCAGTGCATTCACCTACCCTTTCATTGTGGACTTAGCTCCCAACTTCTCTTATTCTAAGCTATCCTTCCTCATTTTAGTTTGCAGAAATAAGTGCACTGTAAAAACAGCATTTCATATCTCCATGACAGTATAAGCAAAAAAGTACCATAGAACCACCTTGTTAAAAGGTAAGGCACAACCCTAAGAATATAATTTAATCCCCATTACTTTGTGAAAGAGTACCTCTCAAACAGGAAAGCAAAATCCAGATCAAACATAAGAAACACAAGAGTGGAATAATAAGTAACTTACCTTTTTAAACATAACTAAAGAAATAACAGCAGATGCTGTGAAAAGTGCAGCTATTGTTATCATCATAATGCCAACAGGGATACTCTTACTAAGACCAGTAAGAGATGAAATCCACCCACTGAAGGAAAAAGAAAAGACAAACTTTACTAGCACAGCACATGAACCATTCAACCACAGGTATACACATCAAGGGAAGCTTTATAACCTCCTGGTTCTGATCAACTGAATATTTTTGAAGAAAAAGTCATGGAAATTCTACATGAGGATATTTCTGTTCTATAATAAGCTTTTACAGTTTATTTGCCATTTTTCCAATGCATGCAGTGAAAATATAAGGAAAATTTTAGCAAAGATGATTATCCTTGAGGAGAGTTGTGAAAAATTTGAGACATTGGAGAGTAGCTCATCAACTTTTTGGTTTTTTTTTTGATCATACTGTCATTTCAGAATAATTTAATACTACATGACTTCATGGAAGAGAAAGATGTCCCTAAAAAGATAGCTTCTAACTTCTTCAAAAATAAAACATAAACATGCCATAGACATGGAGCTTCTATGTGGGAAAACTCATTTAGTTGTATCCACACAGTGATGCTTTCTCAATTGAGGTTAATATATTTTTTTTAAGTAGATAGTGTCACCACACATAAAAGTACAATAGCAAACTTGAAACCACAAAAAGCACATTGCCTTAAGAAAAATAAAATATTAAGATGGAAAAAATTCTTCCACTGAAAAGAGCATAAAGTATCCTTAAAAGCACACTCCATGTACTTGGAGAGTTGGTCTTCTAAAATTTTTTTCTTACTTTGTTCGTATCAACCAAGGCATCTATGATAAAACAAAATATTGGATTTGAGAGCAAAAATAATAAACCAGGCATTTACTTTATACTCTAGCCATTACCCAGGTACATTATTGCCAGTCATAGCTCTCCATGCATCAAAATGAAAAGTCAACTATTACAGAATAAGGAGTTGTCTCAGACAAATGAGCTTTTCAAATAATATCAAAGATATAACACTATATTCAACCAAATACAATGCTGACTCATTCTTCAAAATTTTAGCCATAAATTCCATTAGTAAGTATATTAATATAATTAGAAAAAAACTAATGATACAAAATAATATTCAAACAGTATATTATTACAGCTTAAATTATTCTCATCTACTCAAAGTTTTGCTTATTTTTTATCCTAAATGTAGAGTAAATAACATATCCACACACCACTAAAATAGGGGAGGTAATAAGGAAGGGAAGGATAAAATTTTGACCAGTCTAATAAAAGAAGTAACTCACACTCTTGGGATATGTTTCACACACTTTTCCTAATTAAGAGCACTCCAAAAATGCTTTTTTGAGTGCTAAATGTAACAATTTCAGTGAACATAAGATTTTTTTACAAAAACAAACACACTGTATTGCAGTTGCTATATCAAATATGACTGTTTTTCTTACAGACAGTACAATGCTACAGAAAACAGAATACTCACCAGTTTCCCCATCTTTGAAATCCTGCAGCTTGAAGTACATGTACAGCGAACTGACAGATATATACAAAGAAGAACACAAAGAACCTGAATGAACTGTCACTCCTGAAAGAGGCGGGGG